CCGGTTCCTGCCCCTACGTCACAAAATATGGCGGTTTTCTTTTCTTTCCTGACGAAGGAAGGAGGTTCCTACGAAACGATTCCAAAAGACATCTTCAAATGCCGATATGTAAGTCTGTTGGCAATTCTGGCGCGTTCGCTCACCCGGGTCCAACAATCTAAAAAATTGCAGGACTCACGAAAAAATGTGTACTGGCCATAAATTGTGCATGTTTTTCCTCATACTTTTTGTTCGAACCATTTTTCGCTGCCATCAATATCTGGCGAATTAAGTTCAGGGGTCCGCACAGACACGCATACAATCAACCATGTAGGGTGTCCCTTAATTTTTCCCAGAATTTGACCAAAGCGGTTAACGCGCGGCCAGGTGTTACTCAGATTCCTTAAAATCCAGTCTCACAAGTTATCGGCTTCTTACGTGAGATCGCTCCTCCAAGTACGTGCCGTGACGCTCCACCGCCTCCAAAAAGGGCTGACCAATTCATAGTGTTTGCGGCCAAAGCCGCGAGCAAAACATTTTCATTCCAGCACACAAAATTTAGAAATAAAGGGCGCCTTGTGTACTTCAAATGTTGTTACTGTTAAGTCGCTGCGACACACAATTCCATTTCCTGTACTCGAAACAACGGACAATGGGGTCGGAAGGGTAGCCCAACCCTCGCGGACCACGGTTCTTCCGTCGTTTTCCCGAGTTTCTCCGGGTGGATATCGAGACTGCAGCTGAGAAGTCCATAGACACTTCCTTCAACATCCTCTCATTTGATGCTACACAGAGTGCCCCAGGAGAGGAGGTCATAGCATCGGTCCTAAGCAGAGCCATTTCACTGAACGGACGAGCAAACACGCGAGTTGCAAACTGCACTGATGTTGACGGTGGAATTCTTTAAAATGTATTACACTAGCCAAACTGTGCCCAATTTGACACTTGAATAATAAATACCGGCAATACGTAGTAAGGCACTATGCTAGAAGCCGGAAAATCGCGGGTTCGATTCCCAATGTCACTGGATTTTTCAACTGACCGCATTATGGCCCTGGGGTCGACTAAGCTTCTAACAGAAATGAGCACCAGGAATCTTCCTGGGGGTAAAGGGCGGCCGGCGCGTAAGGCTGACAACCTTACCTGTGAGCATGTCTAGAAAATGTGGCAGCCTCGACGCCTCACAATTCTATGGGCCTGCACTGCCTGTTAAAGGTATAGATTTACTTTTCTTTTTAGAAACAACACGTAATATCGCTTTCTTATCGACAATTTTGGAACTGTACAGTGAAATAGCTCGAAACCGTTCGGAATGGGACTTATGTACATATACACTGTTTATTTTTGCTTACAATGTGATACTATGGCCTCCCACAACACTGACCTTTCCTCCCGGGATACCCCAAACTGCGTTACTGGCTACGCAAATAAGCAATAAATAAATATATGTCGTGGCTGAATCCAAGTTGTCTATGAAAATTGATGAAGTTGAGAACGAAGTGGTTCATCTTACGACCGCCCCAACGTAGCGACATGGTCTGGCGTGGGAAGGCGCTTGAGGTTATTTTGAGAAACTGGAGGCATAGGCAGACCGAGCAGGTCTCTCTATCGATATGGAGCACTCCAACCGCAACGGAGTTCTGAACACACGCTTTCCATTTATCCGAATGAGAATCACGTTAAAAAGTCTACATACAAACATGGGCGTCCACCAGATTCTTTCCAAAAAGGGAAGGGTGGGGGAAGTGTTGGCCATTTTAAACCAAATTCAATCTCTTGTATTAATATCTGAAGGGTTTCCTTATTTTTAAACCCTGATACTTCCCAGAAAATTGACGGGGGGGGGGGAGGCCTCGTTGGCCCTCCCTCCCTTAAAGGCAACCATGCATTCAGAGCACCCTCAACTGCAGCTACTGAAAAACCACATGACCACTCTCATATCAGACCATTCAAATATACCAACTTACACCACTGAACTCCCAGCCTGGGGGGTGGAACTAAATGCACGAATTCTACAATATTAAAGGCAGACACAAATCCTAGCGCCACAAATCCTGAATTATATACTCAAATTTCAAGCTCAAAAATATTAAACATTTACACGAAAGCCACTTCGGCAAATTCAGAAGTAATCTTACCCGGCAAGAACCTTTCTGGCCTATATTTGGAAGGTGACGAGTTCAAACCTTGGCCGGGTCCCTGACCAACCCGACTGAAGTTGTTCGTGGTTTTCCTCAGTCACCCCGTGAAATTATTCTGTATCATCAATGCTTTACTGTCTGACCCACTGGCAGCACCGTTAAATAAATCACTGATATGTCAAATGCTACCCTCAACAGAGCCACTTACTACAACACAATTTCATTCATTCCTGTAGTTGACTACTTTACACACCCCACCCACAGTTTAATTTTTGGAGTGGAGTTGAGGCTGGGTCCCTTGGAACTATGGCCTCGAATGGATCCAATATGCAGACCCCACATGATGAGTATGTGGAAATGGTAAAATAATAATTGGCAGTTGAAAACCTAAGTGCTTGAGAAAAACCTACCAGCACTACTCCCCTTTCTCCCATAAATCCCATATAAATACCTCAGGCCTGAACCTAGGTCTAGATAGTGAAAAGTTGGCACCGTAACTACCCAAGATATGCATCAGCCTACAATGAACCTCAATTCCTGTTACCACAAATCTTCCAAGTTTTGTCAAAGAGCAATAGAAACCAGCACACATATCACCCTTCTCCTATAGTTTAACATTTACATGTCCTTACATCTCGCCAACACATACATTTGAGCACTTGGGTATGACTTCTAGTTCACTACAAAAAGAACACCTTTTTACAAACAAATATACAAACATCCCACTGTAATATAATCCAGAACAGCAAGGCAGATTTCACTTCAGACTTACATTGCAGGAACTGGCTTAGTCCTTTAAGTACCTCCTTTGACCTTACAGCATCAACAATACATCTAGAAATTTTACTCGCTATTCACTGATGCAGCTAATATGCTGGACAGTAATGATTATCTTATTACACGAAGATGGGGACACACAGAGGTACAGTTGGTTGAGGCACTATGCTACAAGCTGGAAGGTCGTGGGTTCGATTGATGATGAAGTCACGGGGGGTTTTCTTTGATTGACCTGTTCCTTCCAGCTGCCATTATGGTCCCCGTGTCAACTGAGTCCCTAACAGAATGAGTACCATGAATCTTCCTGGGGGTTTAGGGCAGCCAGCATGTAGGACTGTTAACTTCACTGCCACCTCAGCGGAGGTCTAGAAATTGTGACAGTCTCGACATCTCACAACCCTATGGGCCTCCACAGCCTGTTACAGGGCTAGCTTTACCTTTCTCTGTCACATCAAGATAAGAAAACCATGGTTAAAGTCACTGGCTGTAAAGTGTGCCCATTTTACTGGCTGATGTAATTTTCCACTTTACTTATACAGGGTGTTTACTCGCTGGCTACTGAATTAGCCAGCACATAGCAAAGAGAACATTTAACATTCCCCTGCTCCTTAGCAAGAAACACAATCAGTTGGTTTGCCCACCCATCCAACTACACAACAGCGCAATGATGGTAAACATACTGAGTAAACAAACCTAATACAATTAACATGCATGAATTTTACTACAGCAGAATCCAGCTTGCTGCAAAAATACCTCAGCATAAGATACAACCACTGCCTCATAAAGGATTATTTGTAAGTCATGTTACAAAGAGAAGCCATTAAAAAAAACACCACAAAAATATTACAATAGAAAGAAATTTCCTGGAAACACTTTAACAAATTTTTGAGCCACTACACCAACATAAAGCTCATTCTCACATCAGGCATTTGGAGGGGAGGGAACGTAAATTCGCACCAGAAAATAAATGTGAATCAACATGCCAAACGAAAACTGTACTTTAAAAAATATATAGCAATAGTATTCCTCATCGAAGTGAAGCTGTCTCTACATCTACTAAAAAGTATCAAACTTCCAACTTTTTAATTTAAAACTGGAAGTCAATCATCAGCTTCATTTACCATTGTATAAAATCATTTTGCCAAAAATGTCTCCAAGGACAGTAAAACATTTGGTAATAACTGATGAATCAGTCACTCTGACTGATCTTTCTTCGGTCTACAAATTCAAATTAATTAAGCGAACTTATGAAATTACCTATCGAATAATGCACCTAATTCATGAGCGCCGTAAAACTATAATGTGCCAATGATATCACTACTTAGTGAGGTTGAAAGAGTTAAAAAATCTTTTGCATTATTTACACTACCAGAAACTACAGTTTTATTTTGTATGTGTTGCTTCCTAAAGATAATTCCGGAGAATTACTGTATAATTGTATAAGGCCAAAATTACAACAAAATATGCTCACTAAACATTTTCAAGTAGTATACAACTCATAATTTCGAACCCCCTGAATATCAATCAGTGTATTAGTAATTTAATTGTGATAAATTCGAATGCCTGATTACTGTATTAAAAGTGCTACAGAACTAACATCACAAAACTAGGAACATAGTTATAATTGCAACCTCATGACCAAAGTATTATTTAAATTGAACTCAAACTGCCGGCCGATCAATTACCCAATGTTCGTACACAGCTGTGGAATATATAATTTCTATATAAATGACTTATTCAAATGTGACATGGCAATGTGAAAACATCCAATTGCATTTCTCTCTCTCCAATATCATGGTATGAAACCATAAAAATTGCCGCTTACTCACAATATTGTTAGCATGGGTTGTACGAGTCAAAATTCAATACAGGCTTATCAAATATTACACTGTTAAACAGTCAACGTTTTTGCCTACTCCAATATGCAGTATTCGACCGCTTCTTACTTTAGGCTTAATTAAAATGGCGGCAGCCGGCATGTATGCCTAGAGCCGCAACACTGATAGGCATTTATAACCAACCATTCGCAAAAACAAACATACAATAAAAACACTAATAATCAACACTCTTTCGGTTAAGTCTGAAAACAGGTGCACTACTTACCATTTCCCCTGAGCAAAATCCACTTCACTTGTATTACAGAACACACAACTTTAACACCACTAACCCTCACACCCAACACTCAGAAGGGGAAGGGTGTTTTAGCTCGCTAACGACTGAATTCTCACGTATGTGTATTCCGAACCGTATTAATGCGCAAAATCGTTTCATCAAAGAAGACTCTCTCCCATTGGATAAATTTCATCCTATACTTCAATGGACAGCCATGTTCCTCCAATAAGGTAAGATGACTCTGCATAAAATGGCAATGACAATTTTCCCTGTAATGGATCCTCATGTATATCAAATATTCCCATAAAAATAATGTCACACGTTTCTTTATGACATCAGAGTCTATTTACATTTGCATTCAAGTGTGTGATATTATGACGCTACATTACATAGAACTACTTTTTATGGCAACCATAGGCTTCTTGCAATGCAATGCGGTTCACGATATAAGGATGCTGTATTGAACGTACTTTAAATTCGCGTTTGTAGGATTACGCAAAAAATAGGTGTAGAATGTTCACTGCCTCCAGTTCATGGTAGAATATGTAAACGTCATTGGTATTAACGTCTACGAACACTAGAACTATTACGACACGTTCACTTAGCTGTTCAAAATATGTGTCCTCACACAATTTATATCCATCTAAAACAGAGCACCAATGAAAATGAAGTCATAGGGGATATTACCTAATATGGGTAGGAGAGAATCAACTTATTACTTCAAATGAACCCCAATCGTGTTGGATTAGTGGTTCTCACAGCGATGATAATGTGCCAAAATTTGTTAGACTATGGTAAAGAGGTCGAAATAAACCTCATCATACCTATTCCTCCATAGGCATGAAAATGACTGAAATCTACCTCCAAATGTGTTTGGCATGTAATTGGGATGGAAGAGTATTAAAATTTTGGGCCCCGAAACTAAACCTAGGTTTACTCTTTACCACAGTAAAGGTTATATTGAGACTTAATTTAAGTGGTCTTTGGAAACATGGAGAAAAAAATTTCTGTACTGAATTTGTGATAGTAGGTGTCTGTTCATATTTCTAACATGAGTGAAATCTGGATCTGTTCCTGTATTAGACCTGTCGAGACTTGTTAATAGATACTACCAAATAGAAACCTTCCTTCATTTCATAGGTTTTCAACTTATTTTTCCTTTTCACTGATTTCTAAAATGTTTCCTTAAACCCGGCAGAGCACATCCTGCAATGTGTTCTTTCCAATTTCTTTTGTATTGTTCTATAATTCTGTTATTTGTACCATTTGTAGTCGCTCGGTTGGTACAGTTCACTTGCGGACTAAAACCACGGAGTTTGTACAATCTGTAGTTCTCTCATACTTTCGTTTCTGTTGCTAACAGCCTCCTCTCGACAGTTCTTATTGTGCATGCTTCACTGTCAAAGGATAGCAAATGTTCTACTATAATCAAATGACAGTTTGATTTATAATTGCTAGTTGTTTAATTAAAAGTCAAAGAACAGTGCACACATTTACATGTTTTTAGTTGTTATATTTACGTTGTTCACAGTGCAGGGGGCAAGTTCGCTCAGGCAGTAATGCATTAGACTCGTATTTGGGGGTACTCTGTTTGAATCTCAGTCATGTCATTGACAATTCCAATTCAGGATTTTCATCAATTTTCTCAGCACCTGCTGCCAAGTATCAGGATGATACCACAAATTTTGCAATAACCACATCCTCTCCACTTCATTATTCATATTCATTCCCCCATTCAATCCTCTACAGTAGTGTGTGTAAAGTAAGTAAGTAAAGTTATCCCTGTAACAGGCTGTGGGATCCCATAGGGTTGCGAAATGTTGAGGTTCCCGCATTATCTAGACAATCGGCCCATAGATGGCAGTAAGGTTGTCAGCCCTACACGCCGGCCACCCTTTACCACCAAGAATATTCCTGGTACTCATTTCTGTTAGAGTCTGAGTCGACCCCAGCGCCATAGTGCAACCAGAAGGATTAGGTCAATTGAAAAAAAAATCCAATAACCTCTTCAGGACTTGAACCCGCGACCTTCCGGCTTGTAGCATAGTGCCTCAATCAACTATGCTACCACATATCCCCTACAATAGTGTCTGTAGTACTGTTTAATAAACCTCAGACAATAAAAGTTTGTGGACAAAAATGGAAATCACATGACTTTAAATGTAAACATCAAAATGCACTGAGTAGCTTTCAAGATTAAAGATCTCAATAGAACTATATTAGAGAAATGAAGAATGTTTTAACATTACAAGACATTTTTGACTCAGTATCATGTTCTGGTATGTCATTTATTGCCCATCATTTTCAACTAGTAGAAAGTTATTATTGTTATGATTTTTAAAACATGAAGAATCAAGAAAAACAGCAAAAAGTTCTATCTTCTGGGATATAATCCCATACAGATATTTTGGAGGAACATGGTGCCTGCTAGTGTGCCAAGCAAAGCTTTCACTGCATTATATCCCAGAAGATGAGCAGAAGACTTCATAACCACTGCTGTGAGGACCTCAAATCCTATAAGATAATCAGTCTTAGGATATTTTCTGTGGATGCTCTAAGAATGTGCTAAGCAACGGGACATCTCACTAACTCTGTGTCCTTAATCATTTAATCCACAGTCATTACATGCACCACCCACTTTAACATTAAAAAAAAGTCTACATTTTGCCCACACAATATATTTATTGGTTTTGTATCATTCTCACAATCAATTGTGACTGCTTTCCTACGCAGCATTATCCAGTTCTTCTTTTTAATGAAGATACAGTACATAGCCTGTGTGGAGAAAATTCATTTTTAAATAATATTTAGATGAATTTCAGGCTTCAAAGGATTAACCAGTTTTTGGTCCAACATACAGACTTCTTTCCAGGGCTGGTGTGACAACACAAGTTAACAAATTGACCACTTGTGTGGCATTATTTTAGGGGAACCACATTTTTCAACCTCCTTAGTTTCTTGTTAATAAAAGCAATTTCTAGTGCTCTTTGTTCAATATTGTGAGCATTCAGTGTCAGTAATCTAAACATGTTACCAAGCAATATAAATAAAACTACTTTAGAAGTATGACACAAGTGACAGTTTTTGTAACAGTGTCTGGAAATTCTGCATTTTTAATTTTATACAAAGTTTTGAAGACAGTCCATCAGTGTTCATTTGTGGGGCACGTTTGTGCTTGCGCTGGTCCTTCCATTCCAATGCTGAGATTTTAATTTGATTACAGTTCTGCAAGCATGCAGCATTAATTGTCACACAAGAGATGATGCACAGAATTTTAGGTAATGATTTGCAAGTGCCAACAGAGAAAAATGAACTTTTCAGATAATGACTAGAAGATGTGTCAGGAAAATAAATACTGGATCACTGGGATTGGAGAAATACTACATTACTAGTATAAACTGTACAACCAATTAAAAGTTTTGTTTCTGTATTTCATTTTTAATTATCAAAATGATACCAATACTCCAATGGTTGTATTTTCAAACAAGTACTAATTCTGCCAGATGGACCCAAGAGGGTAACAAATTAAAATTACAAAAGTAACCTGCATTAGTATGGGCCTTAAACAGACATACTATTTTACATACATGATAATTATTTTACTGAATTTACTTCAGTTTTCTCCACAGTATCATCTCAAATATTGATTGCAGTGCAAGACAAACTTAGTATTATCTCAACACTCCATTTCAACAAGAAAATTAAGATGCTCATTTAACGAATGGCAACAAACCTTAGTAACTGTGTAAATGTACTCAAAGACCTGTTTCTTCATTAATCAAATGCAAGACTTACTTTCTAAGCATCATATATTATGTCATGTTAATGCACCACCCAAACGGGCCATCAGAGATAGAAACATTCTGCTACAATGCATCAATGAATGAGATCGGCAAAAATCTTTGTAGGTTCTGTGTTGTCAGTAATATTCAAAAAAGTATATACAATGGATGAAATATTATTTGATTGGGGGGATAAAAGTGTCTTCAAATCAAAGCAAAAATCCAAAGAACAATAACAGAACAGCATTCAATATTTCATCTATAATGAGCTCTCTCAGCAAGGAACAAATTGGGAGATTTTGCAAAGTTTCAAATAAATTCATAGTTCAGTCTTCTGAGTTATGGTTCTGTGCAGCCTGGCATGTAGGTACCAAAGTTCTGCCTTGATTTTCAGGGTAGATGAAGACGGTGTCTTCTTCCGAAACTGGTGGTTCATACAAGGCTACACAGTACCACAGTCCAGCAGACTGCAACGGGAATCTTCACTGCCTTGAAAGCATCAAATCTCATATCACAAATGAAAAATGAATACTATTTTTAAATGTAATCTTTGTTAGTTACAAAAAAAAATATCAGCAAACATGAGCTAATAAAGTGTGGGGAGGAGGAACAATGTCAAATGTAACATCTTTCCACTCATCTGTTGACATTTTAGGTACAAAATATCAAGTCTCTGAGCTGAAATATTGCAACAAGACAATTCTCAAACGCTGCAAACTCTTGGCTCCTAGACATTTAATGACAAGGCAACTCTGACCTGGAGTACAATGGTTCAGCCATCTACTAGAAGATATAAAGAGAGGAAAGAGTTTGCAAGAAATCAAAAAGACAAATTGTGGGAAGACAGAGGAGAGTGGGAACTTCTCATTTATCATTCAGTATAAAATGGAAATGGAAGCAGAGTTTTTGTATATTTTGGAGTGGAGGATTATTACAATGGGTAGCTCTTACCAGAATTTTAAATCAACTGTAATGCATGACAAAAGAGTATTGAGTATGGAAACACAATTTCTGACTTCTACAGTGATGCCACAGAAGAAGTTTCACGGTTCAAAACTTGCCATATATCCTTCCAGCCATGACACTTCCTGTGCCAGTGTGCTTCTCTATATTTGACACCAATCACCTAGTCATTCTGAAGAGGACTATCTTCTGGGATATATTGCCATGTAGTCTGTTGAGTGACATGCCAAATAATCAGCTGGCCAGAAATTTCAGATTATGTAGAAAGAAGGTGGGAAATGGAAGAGTGGACCTCAGTTACCATTGGCTCGCTGCTGGCCTTTCGCATGGGCACAAAACAAACCACTAGAAG